CAGGATTGAGCTGAGCGAGGCTCAAAGAGCCGACGCGTTACTTGTAATTAATCATTTTAGAAAAAAAAAAGGTCTTGACTAGATTATGATAAAATGTTCCTATTAGAAAAGTAAATATCTATTGTTGTTTTTCTAAGAGGAATTTATTTAATTTCAATTCAATTATTGAATAGAACTATAAGTGAATAAAAAAAACAAAAGTTTTTATGATAAATAAATCTCATTGACTATAAATTATAAATTGACTTGTTTAGAAATTGATTTATTGTTTATGCTCTTCGATTATATATAATGATAACGATTTATCTATTATAAAACAAATCTAATTATTCTTGTTGACTATATAAGATTTATTTCTATAGAATTATTTATCGATTATATAAATAAATTCATTTTCATTTAGTAAAACATAGAAATAAATAAATTGAATAATAAAAAATGTCTATAGATGACTAAAGGTGACATATAGAGAATAAAATCTGACAATCGAATTATTAATATTAAAAAGAAAATTAAATTTATTGAAAAGTTCAAAGATTAGTATATGATGATGATAGATTTTGAGCTCCGTCCAACAATTAATTTAATTAATGATCTATAAAAAAAAAAGAAAAAAAGTAAAATATAATTTATATATTAAAAATAAAAAAGAAAAGCTTTTTCTAATAGGTGGATAAAATGAATTTAATTGAATAAAAAATTATTGAAATCTATCATCAATAGAAATTAGTTGAATATAATATATATGTTGCATATTTGAAGAATAAATATATTTAATAGATGATTTTCAAATAAAAAAATTCAATATTTTTAAATGAATTATTAATATAACGATCTATTCTAACAAATGCTTTTTATTCAATTAAATTATTTCAATTAAGAATTCGTTTTATTTGGTTAGATTTATTTAATTCTTATTTAATAAAATAATATCAATCAATAAATAGGATATATCATTGATCAATTCGAACATATAATCATATTATATTTAATTGATCTATTTCATCAACGATTTTTCTTTTTTTTATTTCTTTCATTTGGAATTTTCAAAATTTGTTCACATTCATTTCCACGAATTTTCATTAGGTTAGAACGAACGAAATTTTTGTTTAAAATAAAGAAAATGTTTCAAAGGCTGTAATTCTAATGTTAATTGTCGAATATGATTTTGATTTTATATAAATAATTGATTTATTTCTGTTAATAAGAATTTATATCTTTTATCTAACTCATGTTTAAGATTAAAAACTTCTTCTTCGAGTTTTCAGCTGAATTAATTTTATAGTGAACGATTTCTCCATTGTTTTTCTAAGTCGTTTAAATTAAATTGAATATTTTTTGAATTATTTCCTAAAATTAAATTTTTTATTTTAACATCATTTATATTTAATAAGAGATTTATTCTTTATTTAAATGTTGACATTCGTTTTTTGAATGTTGAAGATATTATTCAAATAATTCATTTCTTTTCTGGACATTCATCAAGTTCCATTTGTAATTTTTCTCAACTTATCTGAATTAATAAAAATATAATCATTTATAGATAAATAATTATATTAATTAATTAATTAACAATTTATTTTTATATTTAATTATATAAATTTTACATTAGTTTTTAGAAAATGATCAATAATAAATAATTATTATTTAAATAAAACTCTTTATAAAAAAAGATTGAAGAAAATCGATTGAGCTATATTCTCATCTATATATATAGGATGAACTTTATTCAAACAATTTAACAGTTTTATATTTATTATCTTAAATAAATTGATTATTCCAATTGATTTATCTAAATAGTTCTTTTATAAGAACTGATTCGAGTCAATATTACCAATCAACGTCGAACTCTTCGGATGATATTTTATCATAATAGTTGAAAGATTTTCAACATCTATCGATTAATTATCGACGATTATCTATTTATCACCGTTTCATACGATAAATATATTATATTTATTTGTTATTCGAACTATCTATAATCAACAGTTACTCATCGATAACTATCTAGAGTAATAAATTATGTTTTTTCGAGAGGATTACTTAGGGTTTCGACTTATCAATGAACATAAATAAAATATCAATTATGTCACTCGTAGAGTTTAACCGATTATTCCCAAATGGGTCTTATATGAGACAATTATAGAATGATCAGAGAAAGTAAAGGAAGCATAAGACTGAAAAACTCCCAAGACATTATTTTTAGGGAACTTCATAAGTTATCAATTCGTAAAAAAATATTTGTTTTTTCATTGCTCTGCCTTCGATATAAATGACTGAGAAAATCAATAATTTTCAAAAAAAAAACATATAAAAATTCGAAATTTTGTTAAATAAAATATTCTCTAGTTGCAGTCGACAGCGATCTTTTCGAATTTCTCTCTGATATTAATTAATGAAGAAGTCTACCGGTGAATTAGATGTCTTTCGAAAGGTTCATGATAAATCCCCCAATTCAACATACTAACGAATACAATTGACCATCTTCTCACTCTTTGACAGATCGACGATAATCAAGAACAAATTAAATATATGACTTATAGATCTCAACTCATCATAAGTCGATATTCTATTTATTATCAATTAAATTTCTTGAAACGTTACAAATGGTTCAGGGTAAAATAGGATTAACATTTGACAATAGGTGTAAAAAAAAAGTATCTTTTCTTTTATGTTTATTTTTATCTGTTCAACAGTAAGAGATGATAGATGCTGCTTCTCTTCAGATAATCATATGATCAAAGAAAAAGAAAAAAAAGTAACGTCTTATGATGTCATTCAATTTCCATTTTCCATAAGATGATTTTTCCATCAATCAAACGGACATACTCGAGGAAGAGGACATTCACTGGATTAGGCGAGACTATTCCCATATTCGATAGTCTAATACTCTACTTAGAAAATGATTTAATCAGTGGATACTATCGAATCGATATGGGAGGTAAAGGAATAACGTTGGAAAAAGGTAATATGAAAAGAGTCTTGATCGATTCTATATGAAAATAAAATGATAAATCGATTATTGATAAAGAAGGTTAGAATAAAATGTCAATTATCGATTAAACTATCATTCACATCCATACGAGATATTCTCATTCTCATACATTTTAACAATTATTTTCTCGGATGCAATTTGTTTTTTTTTGAATAATTTCTTATAAAAGTTTAATGTTGAATATGATGTTATGATGAGTATATTGAAAAAAAAGTAGATAGTGCCTTTTCTATTTATGTTAAATATAATAAATAATAAACAAATCTCTGTTTGATGTTCTTCTTGTTTATGATTTAATCAACTTTTATTTTATCTTTCAATTGGTTTCTTTTTAAACGATTTATCTATATATATATATAAATAAATAAATAAATGAAAATCAAACTTAATTTGTGTGTTTAATTTTCGAATTTTAAAATAGTTCAATATTTATTTAAAGTTCTTTTTCTAATTATTTTAATATTGGTAAATTAATATCAGATTGATTTGTTATGCCATTAATGATTTAAATTAAATGAAGATATTCAAATGTTTTATTATATTTTTCTTGATTATTTCGAAATTTTCTTCAATATTAATTAATAAGAAATCGAATTTAGATGAATAAAAAAAAACCGAACATTAGCAAGTTCATCTCGAAGATTTTTTAATCGTTTTTCATAATGAAAATTGTTAATATTTGTGTGTTGACCATAATTTGTTTCTAAATCAGATTGAATATTGAAAAGTGTTGTTCGAAGAAGTTTTTCATTTGAAGATTGTCTTTCAACTTCATCGATTTTTCTTTATTTATTTATACAATTTGTTTTTAATCTTTCACTTTTTTTTCTATATCAGATAAACGATTCGAAAATAAAATCAATATTTATTTTTCTTCAGATTTCATTTTTTTTTTAAAAGATCCATTTAATAATTGAAGATTGAGTTTAACTTTATTTGAAATGACACGTTATTATAATTGAGATGGACGTGTCTCATAGGAAACAAAATCATTGTTGATAAATTTCGTTACAGAAAAGTTTCGAGAGAAGAATTTTCAAGGGGGAAACGGCGGATTCCGGATTCTCGGGATTCCCAAGATTCCCAGAATTCCCATGGGATTCCAGAGATTCCCATGGGATTTCCAGGATTCCCAAAGGATTCTCCAAAAAATTTCCGGAATTCCCACCATACTTGCGGGTTCCTCATTGTATCTGAAAATAACAGAAAACTATAAAACAATAAATCAGAAGATCCAACTTTCTTTAATTTACTGTTTTTATTAACATAACTCTTTTATTTCTTAATTTTGCGATTGACCAAAAGATGCAGTATTGCTGACCACTGCTTTCAGACAGTGTTTCCCCTCTTCGGCACTTAGAGCCCATCCTGCTGCGAAGAGGTAAGACATTCTCGGAAAATCCGTGCCCATTAGTTTATATTAATACGAACATAATTCGGTATACCCAAGGGGGAACAAACTGATTTCAATAGCTGAAATCAAGTTGAAATCATTTGAAATCACCTGAAATCATCTGAAATCACCTGAAATCATCTGAAATCACTTGAAATCACCTGAAATCATCTGAAATCACGTGAAATCATTTGAAATCATACAAACTTAGGGGCAGCACTTTAACTTTAAATGTTAAATTGGTTGAAGTTTAAAGTACTATATAATGGGGGCACCCTTGAGTCATCATATACTATATATTGAGGGTACCATTAGGTCATCATATACTATATGTTGGGGGTACCTTTGGGTCGTCAACTACGATATAATGGGGGTGTCCTTGGATCATCATATACTATATATTGAGGGT